AGGGAATGCTACCCCTCTCTCTACGCATTAGCAACTAAGAGAGATGACGATGAATGGATACCACAGGGAGGTAGAAGACGGTGGCAACCTTCATTTACAAGGAACCTATTTGAGGAGGACACAAATCAGTTCCTATCTCTTTCGGCTCTCTGGCACAGAACTTTTATTCCGGTCGGTGTGGTCCCTTGTCCCATCTGTAGAATTCACAGTGGCCTCTTTTTACAAGAAACTCTCTCAACCTCCTACTTTCCCTCTCAACCTCACTTCGTTACTCTCTCAGGGATGGCAAACTTTAGCAACTCCAAAGGCGCAAACTTTCAATTGGTTAGCTGCCTCCCATAAGGCACTAACTATTGATCACCTGTAAAGAAAAGGGATCCCTGTCCCAAATAGGTGCTGCATGTGTTTGAGCGAGGAGGAGTCCAACATCCACCTCTTCCTCCTTTGTAAGGTTGCACACGACCTTTGGGGCTGCCTATTACAACTATTTGGTGTATACTGGGTGATACCACCAATGATCAAAGATCTGCTTGCTTTGAACCTTTCCTCACAATGGCCGAAGGCTGGGAAAATTTTATGGAAGGCAACAGTGGCAGCAACCATTTGGACGCTCTGGAAAGAAAGAAATGCTAGAATCTTTAGGGGACAAGTCACTCTGGTCCCAAGTCTTTTTCAAAAGGTTACAGCCTTAGTAACCTTTTGGGTGACAAACAATCACCATTTCAAAGGAATCCCAACAAATTCCTTCCTACCTCATTGGAAGAATATCCTCCTACACAGACCAAAAAAGAAAAAGAAAATAGCGGCCACCTGGAAACCACCCCCTCAAGGAGTAGTCAAACTAAAATTTGATGGGTGCTCCTTGGGTAATCCAGGCCATGCTGGAATAGGAGGAGTCTTGCGAGATCACCAACACAATTTTAATTTCACCTACTCAAAATACATAGGTGATTCACAGCATGCTGAATCTCCCGCGCTCCTCAAAGGCCTGCAAAGCTTCAAAAGTTCATGGGGACAACATCTTATAGTCGAGGGAGACACCCAAAGCATCATCACTTGGGCCTCCAGGAAAGATTACCCTCCATGGTATCTTTTGCCTTTGTATGACGAGATTGAACATATTTGCAGGGATACACCCGTCTCATGGACGCATACATCGAGGAAGTCAAACGCCTTCATGGATCTCCTGGCGAAGGACGGAGCTAATGCCCATGAGGAAGACTGGGCTTGCTACACCTTTTTGCAGCGTGTGGGGCACTTACTAGGCTACATATTTTTTTGTTCTTTTTTGTAATTTGGCAGTGGACTTTGTAAGGGGACAAAACTATAACCCAATTTTTGTATACTTGTAAAGGGGCATTCTTATAACCCCATTTTGTATAGGGCCAGAGGGCCTATTCTTTTTTGCAGAGAGTCCTGTCTACCAGGGGACTCTCGTACTAACTCGGCACTGTAACTCCCTCCTTTTCAGTAGTACAGTCGTTAACATTTCAAAAAAAAAAAAATTTTTAAACCCTTGTCTTATGTTTTTTTAGTTTATTTATTTTCTTTCCCTTTTCCCTACATCATTAGTATTAGAGCTTTACAAGATCCATCCATCACAATGCCATCAAAATCTACTTTGGCGATCAATGATCTATTGTCACAAATTATAGAAGCTTTGAAATAACATTTTGAAGAGTGCATAAATCAATCCATGGATGGTATTCAATCCATGAACTTCGAGGAGAGATGGGTGAAATTAATTGGCGGTTGCAACAGTTAGAAAATACTATTCATCAAGAAGAAGAGGATGCTTGCAACCATGTAGATTCAGCAATGTTTTAAAAACCGGTCCGCTTGGCACCCACCTAGGCGGCCTGGACCAAAAATCCGCATGCCTTCACCCAGGTGGCCCTACACGGGCGGATGTACCTGGGCTGGGCACCCAGGCGGGTGCCCAAGGCCGTAAGGCCTTTTTCATGTTTTTAAGCGCCCGAACGGGCAAAGGGGGCATTTTGACCCCCAAGGTTGTATAAAAACGTTATGGGGTTTATTTTTAACCCCCAAAGTCAAAAAAAAAAAAACAAAACCCTCAATATATGAAAACCCCCCAAGTGAAAAAACTATAGGGCGCCCGCCTAGGCATCAGGTAGGCTGCCTCAGGGCCGCCTAATGTTTTTTGAAACCTTGAGATTCAGTGCCAGATTTCATCCCAGATATGAATTGAGCCCACGACCGACTCAGGGTGCCAATCCCGAAAGTAACAAGCAAATTTGCAGGCGAGACCCATGTTTTGTAGAGTGTCCACAAGATCTTAGTGTAAAGGTCGATCTTCCAGAGTTTTATGAGGATTTCGAAAAAAAAATCAAGGTTATGATTGACATGCCAAAGTTCCCTTACAAGTTGCATATTAAGTGTTTGATCAATTGGTTGACCCAAAATAACCCCAAAACTAAAATAAAAAAAATAGTAATAAAAAAATCCCCAAAAAAAAAACATAAAGAAGATTAAGTACCAAGGCAAATGGTGGGGCTGCATCACCAATTATTGGACAGGCCTCTAGAGGATATACTCAATTCAATAACCTTGAGGTCAAGCTTCTCCCAACCTGGGGAAAACGATGTAATGGATTTTTGTTTATTTATTTCACTATTTTCTTTATTTTAGGCTTGGGGTTATTATGGGTTTCTAGTTTTCTTTAGGTGTATTTAATTCTTTTTTAGTTGTAAAGAATTAAGGGGTATAGTTGGAAGTTAAAATTTAAATAGATGAAGGGTTAGGATTATTAAGGAACAAGTCAGGTTTTAGTGGTCTTTTCTTTTATAAATATGCCACTCTTGGATTAGAAAAAATAGAGTGAAGAGAAGTATCTATTTGGGTCCCGTGAAAAGATCTTTTTTTGGGTCGGACTCCCTTGCAGACCCTAAGAGAGGGTAATATCTCATATTTTAATTTTAAATTTTCGGATTTGTTATATTTCTTTCGCCAGCATCCCTATATCAGTGGTTTATGGGTCCCATTGGGTTGGTTTGAGAAGATAGTTGATAGATTCACTGTCCTTGACTCCTTGGAACCAATTCACTTGTAGAATTAATTTCAAAGTGTTTTGGATTTTTTACAGAACATCTGAAATATTGTTTTCAGATTTATTTATGCTCCTATGATTGTTAATGTTTTTTAGATTTTTTAAAAAGTTATTTTATGGCTTATAACCCAAATAAGGGCAGTGCTGAAATTTTGCCGCTTTTTAATTGTGGGACCCACAAGGAGGTGGGACATGGGCCACACATCCCATGTAGGTAACATGCCACTTTTTTATGGATGATGGGTTTCCCACTTGTTGGGGAATTCATAAGGAAATCTTTGAAAATATTTTGTGGGAGAAAAATAAGGTGTGATCAAATATTTTGTGCTTAGGAAATATTTGAATCTTGACTTTGAATTTCTAGAAACTGTATCTTGCGAGAGAGAAAGAAATTCTAGTCAAATCAGAAGATTATTATATCTAATTTTGGCTAGGAGTGGACATGGGTCAAAGATTCAGGGGTAAGATTCCTAGATTCCTCCCTAAATCATAATGGCTGATTTCTTTGACTAAATCAGGGATGTATGGCTCTGATTGTTTCTATTTCAATCACAGATTACCAGGAAATCTCTTAATCCTAATTAAGATAGAAATACCCTAGGGCGATAAGAAATACCCTAGGGCGATAAGACCTAAATAAAGGTGGGTCCTCCCATAATTCTCACGACATTGTCATTCGACCTCTCTCTCTCTCTCTCTCCTCCACATCATCTCTCTCTAGCTTTCTTCTCTCTCTAGTCACCTCTCAACGGTGGCATGCACCACCTAGGGCATAGATAGGGGGCACACCTAACCCTATCTTGGTTAAGGGGTGGTGCCACGTTGTGGCATGCTCAAAGATTTAAAGAGTCTTAGAAACCTGAGTTCTAGAGGCCCATACTCTCAGCCCCAACTCAGTTAGAGGGTATTGCCTGAGGTGCTTTCTAGTTCAGAGGATTTAGGAGGACCAACGGATCAAAGGGTGCTGTCTCTTCGATAATCGGGTGTGGGGTGTGATAAGTGCTAAGGGGGTAACCTTAGACAAAGGTTGAGTAAGTCTTCCCAATTTTGTTTATCAGATTAATTTTTCAGTTCTTGATTCATACATGTTTTAGTGTATTATGAGTCCTTTTTGGATTAGGAATCATACTTGGACTAGGACTCCTACTTGGATTATATTCCTAATTCTATTAATTTAAAATTCATATTGTAATTTTTCAGTTTGTTTGTTTGTTTTTTTTAAATAAAATGTTTTGGAATAAGAGTTCAAGATCCTAGATTGTATATTTGGCAATTGTAAGTACAAATTCCTGTTATTAATAAAGAAAAGATTTTTTTTTTTGAATTTATACCTTGGAATTCGACATAGCGACGCCTTTCAAAGCATATACAACTATCTATGCATTCTAGGTATGGATCTTCCTCAAAAGATTCATGACTATGTAGTATACTATTCAAACTCAAACTAATAAAAGAAATCAAATCTAATGTATATCTAATATCATATTGATCAATATGTTTTCTTCCTATTGCGTTGTTCCTTTCTATTGGATATATATCATTATGTTGCCTAGCTCACCTTGGGCAGTCTTCATGATAATGCATCTTCCTTGTAGGTTGCATTTGATATTATACATTGGGCTTTTTTTCTTGAATTGAAAATTGAGACCCATGACATCTCTTGAAAACTGAAATTCAGTTATGGATAATGACCTTAATTATATGCTTTATTGTGGTTGAAAATATTACATCTCAATGCAGAATCTCCAAGTTGGACTCTACTTTGTGATATTCTTTTCTTGTAACTTGTTATTTGGGCTATGTTATCTTTAGACATTTAGCTAACCCAAGATAGTCTCTTTTATATAAACGCAGCTGAGATACTTACATAGTGAATTGTTTAATAAGTTGGAACTTACTGTTTTGGTGGTTTTTGCTTCTTTTTTTCCCCCAGATGGGAAGCAAACAGCTATGGTTACCATGGGGATGATGGTCTTCTTTATCATGGACAGGGAAAGGGAGATGCCTTTGGGCCAACATTTGGCACTGGTGATACAGTTGGTGGTGGTATTAACTACGCTTCAAATGAGCTGTTTTTCACGTATGAAAGTCATCCATTTTGCGTATTCTGCTGAAAATGTTGTGTAGGCTATTTTACTCTTAATAAACACTTACACACCCCTGGACACACATGTTCTTCCTTCACATGCCCCCAGGTCCAATTGATGAGGGTTGTTGAGGGTGTGAATGCCAAGTGATGTGAAATTCCCATTGAAAATTTTGGTAAATGTTCTCTTAAAAAGGCCTCTCACTTCTTCCTTTTCTCTCCTCGCCCCTGTCAAGGATCCTCCCACCATCTCTCTCTCTCTCTCTCTGCTCCTTCTGGATCACACGCTGGCTTCTGGGCCACAGGCGAGAAGCTCCACTCCTGATTTTTGTAAATGTTCGATGCATTACAGTCACTATTTCTCAGAAAAGAAAGAGGAAATTAGTTTATCATCAAATGTAGCACCAAACAAAATGTTTTCCTCATTATCAACTTAAGAATCTTGTATTTCCTACTGAATCTCTTTATATTGGTTTTGAGGATTATACTATCTCTCGTATATTTCAATGTGCAGTAAAAATGGAGGGTTTTTGGGAAGCGTTTGTAAGGATGTAAAGGGTCCTTTGTTTCCTACCATTGGCGTTCATAGTCCCCGTGAGAAGTATGTTTTCTCTTAACTTTACATTCTTGATCTTCGTTTTAAATCTAAATTGCTTCCTCTTTTGGTTCTGAAAACATAAACTTGTACATTGTGGTTAATTGCACGATTTTTAAGGCACTGTGTTACATCACTCCCTGTGTTGAGATCCTCTCAAACACTCATATTATAATATGTCCAACTCCTATGAACATATTTTTCTGCGATACTTGTTCTGTCATCAGTAATCTTGAAACTCCATCTATATTTATTGCAAAATGCCTTTCAGTTCTAGGTGAGCTGCAAGGCTTTTTAAGATTTGCAAACTTGCGTTGATGCTTCTTGTGGGATGACGTTTCAATGCGCTATGAAATGATTCTGTTTTGGTGCATTCATCCTCTTCTATACTGGTCTCTTACCTTCTTAACTAGATTTTCTGTGTTAATCTTGTGGTGCAACCCCTCATCGTATTCAGGTTCTTGTGGACGAGTTTCTGTTGATTTTAGCTGTATAGGGCCTGTTTGCACGGACAGAGTACGTGCTGCAATCACACTCATTCACTTGAATGTGGAAAAAACAGAAGCTTGGTCTGCTCATGTTATTTTTCAGGGAGGCCTTTTTTTCAACCACTTTACCTGGGCCACGGAAGTTGAAATAACTTAAATTTTTTTAAAAATCTCATTACCAAATTGAAAGTCAATAAGTAAGCATTAATTGATTCTCCAAAATGCTCAAACATGCCCTTATATGAAACTTTTGCATCATTATTTCTGTTTTTTCTTTTTTTCTTCTTTCTGATTGCTAGCTAGCTTCATTAAAAGAAAACAGATCACTGTTGTACTCCTCCCAAATCTTTCTGATAATAAAGGTTTATTGAGCTGCGGGCACCTTGGAGGCAATCTTATTTCTGTGGGGAAGCTTCTGGTGATGATGATTAGGTTGCTGTGCAAGTTGGCAGAAAGCTCGATTGTTGCTTTTAAGGATATAGATTTCCTGACCTTTGACTGCGACATCGCATGTGTATAAGAATCAAAGTTGATGAGATTGTGGACATATGATGCATTCCCTATTCATTAGTGTCATATTCCTCATTTCACTAATATATTTATTGTCAAGGCAAGCATTTTATTGGAGAATATTCATGAATCTCCTGCTAATTGAGCAATCAGTTTAGAACACTGTGCCCATCTTGTTTCAAGGTCTTGTAGGACCTTGAAACAATTATCTAGCCATGTATTCATTTAAGAGCCTTATTTAGAAATGCACTTCATAGACAAAATCAGTCATTTAATTGGCCTCTTTATTAGTATTTAATCTATTTGAAATTTAGACTTGTAGTGACCAGGCAATAGGGTCATCAATCCTATCGCAATGAATCCCCTTGGGGATCTGAATGTAAATGAAGGAAAAATTTGTATAAGATTTACCCTTATGGAGAGAGAGGATAGAGATTTGGAATGTACAACATGCTGGTTAACTTCTTTCCAGAGGGGGTGGCAGCATCTGATTGGATAGAGTGATCAAGAATTATTTAATAGCACAGAGGCATAGAAATAAAATAAAATTGAAAACCTAAACTAGTCCCTGAATGCTTTTGCATATTGATTTGGTTTTTCCCAAGGTCATCTGGAAGCAACTTAATGAGCTAAGCCTGTTAAAAAAATTCAAGTGTTTAAACACCTATGCACACCTGATTGGGAATGAGGGTGGGGGGGGGGGGTGGTCTACTAACAAATGTAAAATCCATTGTTTCTGCACTTAATGTATAATCTATAACGTGAAAAATGAAAACTAATTAATAATACCTATTTAATTGACTATAACGCCTTTCTTCTTATTTATTATGTGGGAACATGCAGGCATTTTCTTCTATTTTTTACCATTTATTATTATTAGGTGCCCATATTGTGATGTGAATGGAATTAAGTTGCTCATTCATTCCCAGACTTGGGAGACATATTCAGTTTTGTGCTGTTCTGACTTCTGAGGCCGTTCACAAGAAAGGAAACCGGAAGTGAGAGAAGCTATATGAATGTGGTTAAGCATTGTAACAGAACCACTATTTTGAATATTACCAGAAAAAGAGACTTCCTTAAGCATACTAGAGATGGGCCTTTGACTTTTTGACAAAGCATCCAACTTGTAGACAGGTTTTTTAGTATGTTAACACAGAAAGTTGTACTGCATGTTTGCTTAAGATTTACTTATTTTAAACCTTATGTATGTTTTTCTTTTCTTTTGTTGATTAGTCATTGAAATCCTTTTTTATTGGTTTTTTGTCTCTCCTTTTTGATGAAGTATAATCGTATAATTGTAAGCTTTACAATATCAAAATACTAGGGAATCTGATATTTGCAGATGGGGTGGTTGATGTCAATCTTCAGGGTGGATGTCAATTTTGGACAACGACGATTTGTTTTCGACATTGAGGTAAGTCGATTTCTTCCCTTACAATGTTCTTGTTAATAATGAATGACTTTCATGTATTGTTGTGATTGCTTCTGGTATTTCTCGTGACAGTCACCTACAGGCATCCACCTACTATTTTTTGATTAATGTTGATTCAACTAGGGGATGTATTATTTATAGGCTTTGCAACAAAAATTCAAATGATTAGATGGCTTCTGAAAAATTCCTTTCATTTCTTCCATAAGGATATTGAGGATCAAAAGTTCAAGAAACTTCTTTTTTTCTTCCAAGGAATAAATTCAGAATTCAATTAAGTTTGGAGTGACAAATATGAAAATAAGGGCCTCTGTGCGTAACTTTTGTGAAAAATGTTGACTAATTCGTAGGCGATGACGAACTATAGTAATTTGTTCCAATCCAAGACATACAGAGAGAGGGGTAATTTTCCTTCCGTCTTGTTGTCATTAACAGTACTTTGTGCTTGTCGGATGGCTTACGATAACTTCTTGCTACCCAATCTACGAGGTTTGACATGGGTAGCAAATCAATATTCATATTTGTTTGATGAGCTATGAACATAAACTATCATTTAGTTTTTTCGTTGTAGGTTATATGCATACTTTATAGTCTTTATTATTCTAGTTAATTTACAAGGCCTGGTGATTCCCAAATGTCTATGGCAATAGTGTGTTTGTTTTTCTCAGTTTCTTTATGTGGTATAGTTAAATGGCTTCTACTGTTGCTTGTTTAACCTAAGGACCCTGTTGGGGAAGGAAACCGAATCATCGTGGGTGGTTGGATGTCCACAAGTATAGTAGTTGAAGAAGCAAAAGAAATCCAACCCTCACATGGTGCATGGTAGGGCATCTGGCATGGCAAGTTCCATTATATATTATCCTTCTCAATCAATGTGGTCTTATGAATCTTGGTGGGTGGTTGGATGTCCACAAGTATAGTAGTTGAAGAAGCAAAAGAAATCCGACCTTCACATAGTGCATGGTAGGGCATCTGGCATGGCAAGTTCCATTATATATTATCCTTCTCAATCAATGTGGTCTTATGACTCTTGTCCACGTGCTTATGATTAAATAGTCTATTACATCCTTTCCAAATTCCTCAAATGATTTCCAGAAAGCAACGTATCTAATTTGTTCCCTTCTAATTTCATATCAACTGGACAAATCCCCAGGGCCTTGCTCTAACGAGTCACTATGGTTCTTCATCAAAGTTATAGACTTAGTTTATAATAAGTAAAAAGAAAATCGTAATCGCCCCCATTGCCACTTCAAAGTAAACGAATAAAGTTTTAACTGTTATTCTAGGATTTAAAATATCTTATTTCTAGGTAAAAAACTATTTTTACTTAGAGAAGTCTTTTAATTATCCCTATTGATATGTTCTGGTAACTGAGAACCAATTGGAACGACAAGCTTGATCTTAAAATTTTAGGTTTCAGTCATAAGATTACAAGCAATATTTCTGAAAATTGCTACCAAAAAATTTGTGAATAGGAATAATATTTCATTTTTCATGTTCAAAGTCAACTGTTTTAACCTGAAAGTTGAGAACTTGGCAAAATACTCCTGTTCTTGTTAAAAAAAGTTAAGAGGCTTGCCCTTTCAAATCCTCACTAAATTTGAGGGGTTTAAAATTGATTTAGGGGTAAAATATCATAAAAAAAAAAAAAAATTAGGCGCGCTCGTTTGTCCCATGCAATTCAAATCATATTTGCAAAAGGAAAAGAGGTAAGAGGTCTGAGGCTTTGAGACACGTGTGCTTCATATCATAAAATCGGCCACAGAGTTAAAAATTCCCTTTGCTTTGACCTAGATGGTGTATGGGAAGTCATTGTATGAAGTAAATCTCATGACACTATTTAAGAAACGACATACAAACTTTCAATTATAACTTTTGGGAAACTTAGTAAGTGTTTACTGTTTTGGTTCCTTTTCTTGTCTCTTAAACTTTCCTTGTGGGGGCATCTATCCTAGAGTCGATTAGGAAGCAAAAACCTTGACCTGAATATATGTAAAGTTTGTTTTTGTTGTTTTCGTGTACGTTTTTCTCCATTATCGTGGCAACCTACTTTTATTGATTTCCTTGTGGGGTTCTCAGCTGAAAACTTAAGTATCCTAGTGACTTGGTTCTTCTATTCCCAATATATTATCATTGGAAAATATTTGCTCTCTTAGATGTTTTGCCCTCTAGCCATGTTGGGGACATTCTAGCTGAATTTACCAATAAAAAAAGGGGAAAGGACAATAACCCCCCTTTGGTGGACTTTCATCTCACATACACCCTCAGATCCCTGGAAAACCCATACGCCATCGTGAACTTTTAACTATAGGACATTACACCCCCTCTTTCATGTTTTTACTATCTAAATTATTGTTTTAACCTTATTCTTTATCTTATTCTCACCTTTAACCCATATCCCCAAAAAAATCCACAAACGCATAACTTATTGAAACCCCCTCTACCTCTTTCTACCCCTCTCTCCATCTCTATATACCCAAACAATCTCCCCTCTCTCTATTGATGTGAGAGAGAGAGAGAGAGAGAGAGAGAGAGAGGGCAACTGGTTGGGTGGTGGGTAAGAGATGGAAAGAGAGGGAAGGGTAGATAGAGAGCGGTTTCAATGGGTTATGGGTTTGGGGATTTTCTTTGGACATGGTAAAAGGTGGGATTAGAATAAACATTACGGTTAACATAATAGTCAGGATAGTAAAAATTGTGAGGGAGGAGTTTAATGTCCTATTCTTCTTCTTCTTCTTCTTCTTCTTATTATTATTTTTTGAGGGGATTAAAGTCCGCTAAAATGGGGGGAGCTTCCTTTTCCCTTAAAAAAAAAAATATTCTAGCTGAATTTTTAGCTTGTGATCTATTTTATGCTCCATGTTGGCCATCCCATTTTTTTTGTGATCTTAGTTTCCAATCATTTTCTTATCCCTTGCATTTCTTAATTTGTACAGCTTGCATTTTGGGTTTCACAATTGTCTTGTATTTATGAGTTTCAATGACACATCCTTAGTTTTGTATTGTTCGTGGTTTTCCAATTTTGATAGGCATTTGCAGCAGAGGAAAGAATGAAACAACAAATGGCTATTGAAAAAGTATCTTTACCGCTTAGCATTAGCCACTGGTAATGAACTTGGAAGACTCCTTGGACATAAGGTTTTGATTAAGAGGTTACTTCGAATGATTGTGATCAGAATTTTAGATTCATTTCCGTTATTGATATGTCGCTTACAGTTGCCTGTTGGATTTGACATAATTTTTTGATTAAGAGGTTACTTCGAATGATTGTGATCAGAATTTTAGATTCATTTTCGTTATTGATATGTCGCTTACAGTTGCCTGTTGGAATGACATAATTTTTTGATTAAGAGGTTGCTTCGAATGATTGTGATCAGAATTTTAGATTCATTTCCATTATTGATATGTCGCTTACAGTTGCCTGTTGGAAATAAACTCCAAACAAATGTCTTGTTGTGTCCAGATATGTCTCTTAGTCGAAATCATTAGGGAAAATTACTAAAACCCCCACAATTTCAACTTTCTAGGCATCCTCCCCTACCCACTCTATGAACCCCAATACTGTTTTCTTTTGCTACTACCCCATCAAGTGAAAAATGTGTTGTTTTTGAACCAAAATATCCCCTTTTGAACCATGTTCACGTCACCCACTTTTTTTATTTTTTTTGTGCCGATTGAAAATTAAGTCTGGTCTGGCACAAAAAAAGCATCGGACAGGTCCCACACATTGATTTCATAGTAGCCGTCTGGCAATGTTGTTTGCTGGACTGGCACGATGAAAACGTGGGTATAAGGGGGGGGAGAGGGGTATTTTGGTCATCAAGTTGTTGACTTTTTGACTTGGGTGGGGGAGGGGGGTGTGAAAAAAAAAATTGGGGTTCTTTTAGTATTTTAGAAAGTTGTGGGGGGGAAGATGTGGAGAAACTAAGTCAAGGGGGGTTTCAATAATTTTCCTAAATCTTTAATACATGAGAATTGAGTTGATTGTTAAGGTCTCTATTATAATGCTTTATTGAATGTTGTCTTTTTCAAATTGTTATTTTTCTTGGTATACAAGACATCTTTGGAGTATTTTATTGGAATATCTCGCAACGTTAATTTGGGGATCCCAAATTATTACCACATCCCAGGCTGTATGCGCACCGCAAACCCTCGCCACAGCAAGAAAAGAGTCTCAAAATATCGCTTTTTCTGGAAGTATGTGATGGATTCAGTTGTTTAATGTTTTGCTTTTCCATTAATTCTTAGTCGTCAGACATGAGGTAATGCATATAATATTCTGGGCTCGAAGGATGTGACTGGTTTCCTTTTCTTGTCCATGTTAGGGCAACGTTTTCTAAAGTAGTCAGATTAGCAAACAAAGGTTCTTTTCTTCACCATTTTGTAGCTTTTAATGGTTTGAGAGTCAAATAAAGGTTATTTTCTTCACCATATTGTAGCTTTGAGTTTTGATAGCCACCAAGTTGTGATTCGGTTTGAATAGGATTGTCAAATAGATTTAGATGCATTCAGTGTATGTACGCTCTTATGGATAATACTCAGAAGTCATCCTACGAATATCGGGTGTTCATGCAAAACTGTTAGGATGCCTTCCAGTGAACCCGTCCACAGTAACTTATACTTCCAGCAGTCACTTTTGAATATTACTAGCTAGAAGCCTAGGCTATGAAATTGAATTCATATAGTTTAGCTTTATTTTCTTTCTTGTTTTTCATCCTGTTATTAAAGAACATACCTACTCTGACATTGTTTATTTACCCTTATCAAGTTCTTGCTGTTAGTATGGATGCCCAGAATTTATACCATATTGTACGCGTTGTCATGTCACACTAAGTGTGTCGCAGCATGCAATTACATACTGACGTGTTTTGAAGTTTAGTTTTCTAAATATTTGCATAATAAAATCTTACGCAAATTCCTTGAGCATATCTGGATTTAGCTCTACCTGTTCCTAAAATCATTGAGGTATTGACATCAGTTTTTGAGATAATTGATATGGCAGTAGTAATTATTAAATGAATTCTTTGATTATATCCTTATCTATTGGTAATCCCCTATCCAATAGGAAATTGAGATTTCTATGTTTTAATCTTTGATTGACCAAAAAAGTTATAGAATTTCATACTTTTCTCTATAAATTCTATTTATCTGCCACATTGTGGGGGCCGTTTTTTTTGTTGTTGTGAAACTCCCTATTTTGTGATAACACATTACACACAACTCGTATTTCTCTTCTTATTTTTTTTTCTCTTTCTATCCCTATTTGTTTTGTGACATATTTTCCTGCTTAAGGACATCCATTAGATATCTCTCTCTCTCTCTCTCTCTCACACACACATACGAGCCCATGCATTGCATGGATCAAGAACTAGCATCCTTATACTGATCAAATGAATAAGACAACATCTCTATTCTTTTGAGATTTGCTTTTTTAGATGTTTCCCTGCATTCTAGAAAAGACATTATTATTTTAGGGGTATCATCACTGCTAGGGGAAATCCAGTTTAGGGGTAAATTGTAATAGAGAATCAATTCAAATTTTAAAATCAAACACTCCTTGAGGCCAAATTGGTTAATGGCAATTTGGTCCAAAGTGGAATTTGGCCTGGAAATCAAATGATGCCTGAAAAAGTAAGTCTGGACAGGTTTGTTGACATTTGAGTGGATTCAGGCCTCGTTTGATTTCCAGGCCAAATTGCTAGTTGGAGCAAATTGTAACTTTGACTTTGAATTACAAATATAAAATGATTTCATTTGTAATTGGGCCCCTAGGTGCAATCCTTGACAAAACCTCTTGGAGTGGCTTTTGGTTTCTCTCTCTCTCCCCACACACAGACACCAAAAACACAAAAACAGCAAAAGGCATGGCCCCATCTGCACCACCTCTGCGTAACACCACACCACCACGTAGCAATCACTACTACCACCAATGCTCCACCACCACCCATCACCACAAATGCTGCCCCAACTACTACCACCATCAGCACCACCACTATACCTGCCCCACCATGACCACCTTCGTACTGCTGTCACCTACACATCATCACAAAATGACAAACTCCACCATCGCACCACACGAAAAGAAGCTGCATGCCTGCAATTCAAATTGAAATGATGAAACACCTCTAGACAGCAATGACAATTCACCAAAATACAATTTGACCAATGACAGTTTGAAAAGAATAAACTGAAGTTCATGAAATTTGACAATGAAATGGTATCTAAACAACAGGGAAATGGATGGTTGCTGGGGAGGAGGCAACAAGAATTACAGGTGATGAGAGGTGGAGGTGGAGGGATGATGAAAGGTGGAGGTGGAGAGATGTCATCGAGTGTAGGAGGGTGATAATCTGACTATGACCGAGGTCGGTTGTGTTTACTTGCGATCAATTGAGGTGCTGAGAGGAGTAGGTCATGTATTATAGAGGAGTGAGGTTATTTTACATTAGGATGTGGTGAACTTCTTTGGGAAGGTTCTCCAATAAGGGCTTGGTAGGAATTAAGCCTTAATTATTGTGAATTCAAGGATAAGTTCGATTGCAGAAGGGTTTGTGCGTAGGAAAAGATTAGAGCGATAGTTATTTAACGATGTGTTAAACATGATGGCAAAAGGATGGGCTATGATCATCTGGTGGATAGCAACTTTGTGAGATATAAAGATTTAGGTTGCGGGACAGTGGTTGGAGAGCTCATTGGCAGAGGGATTTCCTAGACTCAAGCCTATTGCAGGGAACTCTGAATTTGTTTTTGGTGATGTGATGGTACAAATCAGTCTCAACAGTGCGGACACCTAGGTTAGAAGCAACCTGAGAGATACAGAAATAGGAGACTTGCAAGAGTTTTTCTGGCTTTTACAAAAGATTAAAATCACGAGGAGGACAACCGGGGACAGGATGCCCTTGGAACCTGCTGCCCATGGAATGTTCATGTTGAGATCATTTTTTCAAATACTTACCCACACCAACAACTTGCAAGCTATAGGAGGAAGGGTGTGGACTATCCCTGCATGACCAAGAATTTCAGGCTTTTGGCTTCAAATAAGGTGCTGACAGTGGATAACCTGCAGCGTAGAGGATTGCAAATGGCAAACAGATGCACCATGTGCCAAGAAGACACATAGACATTCTGGCATCTATTCATAAACTGTAAGCTATTATCCACATTTGGTCCCACTTCCTCAATTTATTAACATTGAATAGGCTACACCGGAGACTGTGGAAGACCAGCTGAGACAGTCGCACTCTCCTTCTGTGCCAAAGAGAGGTCTGTAGGCTTTGGAGGTTTAGCATCTTTGCAGTTTCAGTCTTATATGGCTTGAGCCAAATACGAGAGTATTTAGTGGGAATACATTGAACATCTCTGTTTTGAAGGTTATAATAACAAACTGGGTCATACACCTGGCCACCATGAGGAAAGAGTTTTGGGAGGCACTCCTTCCTAGAGTTTCAACGTCACTGGGATGAATTGATTGAGCCATGGAGAGACAACATAACTAGAGGCGCCCATTTGACCTTACCACTAACTGTGACATTAAAATTCAATTTGATTGAGACATGCCTCAGACATTTTCAAAGCAAATAGGGCCTGTTGATACTTGAAGGAGATGCGGCCAATGCAATAAGTCGGGCCATGAAAGGTGATGAAGGTCCATGTGGGTTGGAAGACATCATAGATGAGATAGTGGAGCTAAGTTCCAACATCAGGATCCAGTATAACCATGTTTTGATGGAGGACAAAATTATTCTTATTTTTAATTTTTATTCAATTTCAAAGGATTCATATTATAGTTTTAGTTTTAACGTTTATTTCTCGGGTTTTTAGCTTTTTAGGAATTCTATATTTTTTTTATATTTTTTATTTACTATTCATTGTTGCTATTCATAGTTACTAGTCATGGATACTATTTATGAGTGCTATTCACATGGGTAATCCTGTCATTATGAAATTTAAGGTTAAGTTAGCATATATGGGTCAATGTACAATTCGTTTGGACACGTTTTGCATTTGGAACATTAAATTATAATATATAAGAGGTGTGTCGGGCCCTGAGGAGGTCATTCCACATGACTTTTAGAAATTGAAAGAGAGAGAAAAGCTTTGGCTTTTGCTGCCCTAGCTTGGTTGTTGAGAATAAGCCCTAGGTTTCTTTGAATGGTACTTGTGTTTGGCTATTGCTCTTACTGATTTCTATTGTTTCTTCGAGTTCCCTACATCAAATTGGTATAAGAGCTTGTGAACTATAGGAAAGTACTATAACAATGTATGGAAGTTACTGTACCAGTGTATATATAGGCTGTGGCATCAATTTTTTTGGTGCCCTAAATCAACAACAAAGTGGGGAACTTATAGTGGGGTCTAGGGTTGCTGATTTTTGTCGAAGTTTTGCCAAAACAACCTAGATCTTGTTGATTGAAGCAGTTTTTTGTTGATTATTTGCCTAGAGTTTGTGTTTTTGGCGAACCCATGGCAATGATTAGGGGCCATAGAAGGGGGATTTTTGTGGATCCGCTGCGTGATCCTATGGATGACAGAATCGAGGAACTTGAAAGGCAAGTTCATCAGTTGACAACAATTCACAAGCCTCAATAATGGGCAAGATGATGATCTTTCAGTCAAGCGGATCTCGAGTACAAGTCTTTCACTTTTGCGCTCCTCATGTAAAGTCGGGTGATGAGGATAGCCATAGAAGACCTAGACGTGAGGAACATCATTCTAAGGTTTTCGATTTGAAGGATGAGTTGATTTTGACACAGATTCAATCGAAAATCAACAAGTTGTAAATTGGGACTCACTACCAATCTTCGATCTATACTTAGATGAACTACAAGATTTCTTGGGAGATCTGATCTATGATAAGGATCAAAATGATGATGAATAGATTTTAGAAGAGGGTGAAGAATATGGAGAGAAGGCAGCAGGAGGGCTAATACAAATTATGGCCTTTGAAGATCTCATTAATATCAAAGAGATAGAGCATTCAAGAAATGTAGGTATTGGAATCAATGTAGCACATATGAAATTCGGTCAACTCATAAACGACAAATTGTGGCCTTGTTTTTAGCAAATAATGAAATAGATGTCAAAAAACCTCAAATTGAGTTTGGAATATCTTACAAGATATTTTTTTTAAAAAAAAATTTCTGCTAGGGGCAATCCAATTTGGTTATTCTTGAACTCCCATTAAATATCATGTAAATCTTACATGATATTTAATGGGAGTTCAAGAATAACCGAATTGGATAGATTTGCATCGATTTCTCAATATACATATCAAGCTTCGTTTCGCAAGGAATTCTTCTTACCACAAATAATATTTGAGCCGACAAAGAAAAAGAAGGTGGTTTTAATGCTGAATCCGCCTTAGCACACTTCAAAACTCAATGACGAGTTTTCTCCAACTAGGGAGAATGATGGAGGTCAAAATTATTGTTATTTTAAATTTTTATTCAATTTCGAAGGATGTATATTACAGTTTTAGCTTTAGGGTTTATTTCTGGGGGTTTTAAGCTTTTTAGGAATTTTAAGTTTTTTTTTATATTTTTTATTTACTATTCACTGGTTGCTATTCATTGTTACTGTTCATGGGTACTAGTCATTGGGTACTGTTCACAGGGGTAAAACTGCCATTACGAAATTATGGTTCAGTTAGGATATATATAAGTCAATGTATTGTTTGTTTGGACATTTTTTGTACTTGGAACATTCATATCATCATTTTTGCCTTTTTCCAATTAATTGGGGTCGGCTACATGAATCCTAGTTCTCCATTCTCCTGTATTAAATGTCATATTCTCAGTGAGGCTATAAGTGCTCATATCTTTTCGGACTACTTCCAACCGCATCCTTTTGGGCCTACCCCTTGCCCTTTTCAGTCATTCCCACTCGAACTAACTTGCACCTCCTAACAGGTATTGTACTTGGTCGGCGCTACACATGGCCAGCCCACCTAAGTCTACTCTCTCGCATTTTATTGACTATGGGTGCCACGCTTAAATTATCTCGAATAGATTCATTTCAAATTCTATCTCTTCTTGTCTTGCCACTCATCTATCTCAACATCCTCATCTCTGCTACACTCATTCTATGAGTATAATATTATATATAATATATATATGTTTTGCACTTGGAACATTAAATTATAATATATAAAAGGTGCGTGGGGCATTGAAGGAGTCATTCCGCATTACTTTTAGAAATTGAAATAGAAAGAAAAGCTTAGGATTTTGCAATCTTAACTTGGTTGTGGAGAAGAAACCCTAGGTTTCTTTGAATGGTGCTTGTGTTTGGCTTTTGTTCTTGCTGATTTCTACTGTTTCTTCATTTTCCTTGCATCATGTTTGGAAGGAATTTAATCTATTGGAAGATAGCCTGGAGAAGGTAGGAGTCAATGTTTTCCTCAAAAAAAAGGCAGGAGCTGCTGAGCCAGAAGTAAGGGTCCAAATGGTTGTGGAAATATGTCATTGGCAGCTGCAGATATAGCATTTTGGGGGAAACAGTTTTTTGGGATGCTTAAGATACTACAAAGGCATAAGTGATTGAAAATATGCCTCACTCAGGGGTTGAGACATAAGCTCTCTATCTCACTGGGTGTAGACAACAGAGTTAGATACATTCTGGTGTAAAGTTTGTACAAACCTGTAGTTGTGGTCTATAAGAAACGAAAGACGTGCACAAATTAAACTATTGAAAATACTGCTAATTATTAGCAAGATGAAAAACCAGGCGAGGGTATGAGTGTAGTGGTAAGTTCTGTAAGTTTGAGATTGATTAGGTGTGAATTGAGATTGGAAGGGTCGGAGGAGTTCAAATTGGGTGCTGTCTGGGAATTATTGTTAAAGGCTCTGTGCTGCTTGCAGGTAGAAAAGTCAATAAGGATAAGAAGAGGAAGCCATACAGGCTGTTGGGAAGTGAGACTTCCTGGAGAAGATTTTGCTTAAGTTTTATCAAAAGGAAGATTTGGTGAGCTTTGCAGGTGCCTGAGGAGGTGACGCATCTACAGTTTGGTGGATACTGTTCTGAAAGGCATAGCCTAATATGGTTAAGTATGAGGGCATTAGTGTGAAATTCAAGTGATTAGTGGATTGCAGTGCTTCATTGGGGGGAAGAGGTTGCAGTTTTCAGTATTTGTAAAAACATGCAGAATTGGAATGGTGCTAGGGTACACTTCTGACTGCTGGCCTATGGTTGATGGATTGTGAGAGAGATATTGTTGAGCAGTGTGGATAGTGGGTGCTTGTGGAAAGCGACAGATCCGATGTGGGAGGATGCTGTCCTGAGAGGCGAATCCTTTATAGGCTTACTGGGGGGGATAGCATTCAGAAGTTCCAAGTGATTTGGTGGGTCGCAGCACCTTATTTAAGGTGAGGAGAGAGTCATTTTGATCTCACTGCAAATTATTCGTGGAGCCTCTTTATTAATATGACATTTTATGAATACCAGGACATATATCTACAAGCCAACGTATGTTTCAATCTTGTAGGATTCCTGTTTGGTTGTGCTGTTGAACTCAAAGATTGAAGAACTTGTATCTTATGTTCCCCATTATCAAATTCAATGCTTTTGATGGATGTTTCTTGAGCATCCATGTTCTGTTTTTAAGTATTTGTATTACATATTATCTGGAATGTTTATTGCGAAATTTTAAGTTCCAAGTACATGCAATTTTCTTTGTGCTGTCTTCTCTTTTTTTTTAATAATGACTGCATTTTTATTTGTCGGTCTCATAATACAACAGATATCTTTGTACATTGGGTTCAGGATTGTTCGTTCATATTTGCTACATTATGGTTATCAAGATACTCTCACCTCATTTGATATTGCGAGCAAAGGAACATTTCCTTCCAGTCCAATTGAGCATCAAAACAATGGCACTATCGAAGTAGAAGAGATGTATGCATTAAGCCACCGGAAACTGCTACGCCAGGTATGGAGACATTCCTGGTACACTGGAATAACCTCAGATTATTTGCCTCATGAGAAATATATCGTTGCTACTTGACCTTGCTTACTATTTGTAATTCCATTTCCTCTCTTGACGCTATTTTGCTGCATAATAAGCTTATTCGGAGTGGAAATGTTGATTTGGCATTTGTAAAACTTCAGGAATGGTATCCTCAGCTTGTGCAGGTATGATATTTTGAATTTGATCCTTTTCTTTCAATTGTATGATATGAAAATTTTGTCATTCCCTCGTCTATTGAAATAATGTGCTGATTTGTGATTTGTATTGTATCATGCCTGTTCTTTATTCTCAAAATGTTACGCTTATCTATTTTACATGCTTGTTATTATACTTTAAATCACATGCGACAAATTGGCATGGATATTCAGTTGTTTATCCGAAATATTGTATGTTAGCTATCATTCCTTGTTTATTCTTATTTTAAATAGTTTCTCTACATCTATATCTAAACTGTTGCTAAGTAATCCTATATCATTTTCACATGTTTGGTTTTACAATGGAGATTTGACCTTTTCACAAGTACTATTAACCTGGAAAGTTCACATGCTTATGCTTTCTGGGTCTAGATAGTTAGAATAAGGACAACGGTGATGAGATGTAGACCAGGATGAGTAGTAGCTGTTTTATGGCAACATTGTTGAGACTCATGCAAGAACTCAAAATAAAAGGCCCTCTTAAAGGAAGTTATAGAAGGTCATTGGATTGGCAGTTGGGAAACCCTATTGGATTTGACAGTTGGATATGTAGGGTTTTCAGTTGTTTGACTTTGATGGAGGATTAGATGGATTTTGTGTAGTCAATATGATCCTTGCACTATGATTCAAGAGATGCATGATGTTCGCCCACCTACCCCCATCCCGCTTGATGGTTTCAACAAAGTTGTAATATAGGAAGGGGAATGCTGGTTTCTCAATCATCAATCGCCATGCTTTTCTTTCACTTTCCTCATCTTCAAAATAATAAATTGCCATATAGGCTACTCTTTGATTGGACAACTTTTTGGTTCACTTTGAGAATCCATTGATTCTCAATCCTCTTATAAGAATGCCACTTGTGAATGTTGGGCCATGATTGTGCCATCCTTGTTAGTCTCATATGTTGGTTTCTCCATTTCTAGCTATGGTACATTTCATCAAGCTTGCTTTTACATGTAATATTTCCCATAAGTTCTTGTGGTGTTAAAGTTAACAGTTTACAAAAAAAAAAAGTTCTTGAGGTGTTTAATTGCAAAACAGGAAACCTTTAGATATTTCTCTATTTGGGAAGTCATGTGGGTCAATATTTTTGAATTTTTTTTTGGGTCTTGATCCTCATCACAAATCATGTGGGTGATTTATCTGAAAAAGAAAATGGAAAGTAAAATAGAGAAATTTATTGTTCGTGGAGTTCTCGGAAAAGATTTTTCAAAAATGAAATAAAAAGGAGTTTTAATTGGGGACTTTAGGCAATCTTCATGGGTTCCATGCCAAGTGAAGGCATGATGCGGATAGAGCATGATGCCATGCCATGAAAGGGCATGACGATTGAGCAATGGCAACAAAATAATATCTCTTCTTTGAAAAGCTTGATAGATTCTGGTTTGAAATATGTTTGAGAAAAGTGAAAGGAGTGTAGTAGACAGGCACGAAAAAGATATAATGGTTTTCTATTTTGTAGTTAAACACCTCAATAACTTGTGGGGAGTATTACTTGCAAGAGCAAGCTTCAAGAGATATGCTAAATACTAAAAATGGAAAAACCAACATATGTGACTACCAAAGATGACAAGACAACATTTTTGAGTGAAGTTCTTGTAGGACGATTGAGAATAGTTGGATTCTCAAAGACAAAGTAAACAAAAAAGTTGGCCAAACAAAGTGGAGTGCAGTCTATATGGGATATTTCATCTTGAAGATGAGATTGAAGATAAGGAAATTGAAACAGAAGCATGGCAATTGACGATTGAGAAACAATTTGATGAGATATATAAGACCATGGAGGAGCTCATGAAGGAGATAAAAGCCTTGAAAGAGGGACTTGAAGATTTGCCTGTCAAGCTTGAAGCAAACCAAAGAAGGGAGTTTTCGAATTAATCAAGGGTGTTGAAATAGTAATACAAGAATTGTAAAAAGACAGTTTAGTCTTTTGCCTTTCTAGGTTTTTGTAGAGGTTTGAGAGAAATGTTCTAGAGTTGGGAAGAGAAACGAAGAATCATATTGAAAAATAGGAAAATTAATTATTTATCAATTAATGGTTGTAAGGAAATTTGTGGGAAAATCCTTTATAAATAGAAGTGTTTTGATGTCAAGTGAGTGTAAAAAAAAAGAAGTTGAAACAATGGTGTTTATCATGACAGAAGGAAAAGTTTCTAGGAGGTAATCCAATTGCTCCGCTGTGTGGCCTTTTAGCCATAGCATCTCTCGTTTTAATGTTTCTGCTTGTAATATTCTTCCAAATATAGTTTATCTTTGTGTTGAAGTTTATTTGAATGTTTCTTTTCTTATAATATGGAGTTTTGTCTTGTCTGATCATCCTTTAAAAAGTGTGCCCCTCCACTTTCTATTTCTATTAAGTTGTTAAGCAAGATTCCTTTTAAACTGGCCTGCTTTTCCTCTATTTTTCATGGTGAATAATATTTATCAACCCCTCTTATTAGTATGGCGTACCTCCTCCTCCCATATCAATGATCTTTGAACCTTTCTTTAAATTCCAACAGGGAGAATGCAGGCCCAGTGATTGATGCCTATACATGAATTTTTAAAGTGAAGATAATGGAGACAGTTATATTGCTTTTAGGATTTAAATTGGTGAGAGAGAGAGAGCCATGGTGATTTTGGTCCGAATAAGGTATACAAGTGAGGTGGGTTAGATGTAGGGAAAGTGAAAAGGTGGGGGGTTGGGATGTAGGGAAGGAAAAGTTGTTTGTTTATGACAGTGAAGTGATGGGGAGGGGGCACTATATAAATTTTCATTATAGAACAGCTGGTAATTTTTTAGGCCTCTTCTCATGCTTGTATTTTCTATCTGTTTTTTATTAAGAGCTTTGCCAACAAGGAGCTAAATCCCAATTCTGTGCGCATGTACTCACAAAAAAAACAGGCCGAACTCCTGCGATTGTGAAACTGATTTGTTCCTTAGAAGGGGGGTATACATGTTCTCCTATTCATTTCTAGTTTCCATGAGATGCCGAATGTGTGCTCATATTTGTAAAAGTCAACAAACTTGTTAGCAGATCTGTTGTGTCAACTACTAATTACAGATATGCTCCTTTTGTGTTAATTTCTGTTGGGTCTCAAAAGTGAAGCAAATTTTTTGTGCAGGATAACACATCAACTGTTCGCTTCCTGCTTCATTGCCAGAAGTTTATCGAACTTGTCAGGGTAATGTATCTTCACATTATATTTATACAGATGTAATGGATGTTTTAATGGGCTATTTGCTCAAAGATCTTATCCGTACTTGATTTTGGAGGCACTTGATATTCCGCACAGAGAGAGAGAGAGAGAGAGAGAGAGAGAGAGAGAGAGAGAGAGACGTGCGTA